ATATATATATATATATATATATATATATATATATATATATATATATATATATATATATACACACAAAAATAAATTACACATGATGAAACAACATGTTCCTTACGTTAGAGTCAATGGCTGAACTTAGCCACGAGGAAGTTACTGGAAAAAGTAAAAAAATACCATCGTTGAATTATCTTATTATAACGTGACAAATGAATACACATTTCCTCCCTATGATACGTTCTGTCACCCTTAATAGTTATAATTTTAAATTTATTGTAAGATCAAAGTATAACTTGATCTCAAGATTTAAATCTTATACTGTTTCTGCTGACCGGGGAAAATTCTTGCAGTCTCCGCCCGGAAACACTCTTCCTCGTCCGATTGGTTCATCTCCCTTCGCTCTCCTCACGCTTGTTCTCCACACGACCTGCAACAAACACTCCGACGCTCAAGTCAAAATGGACTTTTGCTAAGTCTATATAATTATCAAAGAACAGGGAGTTTACCTTCTCCTTTGACTGCTATTTATATGATTTCAGAGAATATTATCCATTAATTTACCTCTTAATGGCTTTCAATGCACACTTTAAATACTCGACAATGACCGTTACCTCATTAACTACACATTTATGAGCATTCAACTGTTGTCTCCAGTCCACAGTTTTATACGTCTGTCCGACGGGACATATTACGCTTAAGAGATCCGATCGAACATATCAAACTGGAACACATATTAGCTTTACTTCCACCCGCTTGACACTGTACAAACCTTTCCGGTCGATTGTCTACCTCGATAATATACTAAATAAATTATAGAGTAGATAACTTGTCCCAGATACTCGATAACTGCGTTTGATGTTTAATATTTAAAATCAAATAGCGTCAGTTGAGTAATTGATCTGTACGAATTCATATTTCTTATTCAGAGTAGGTGGATAAAAGAAAAAAAATAATAAGCACCTCTGCAGCATTATTTGTTTAATGCTGCTGCATGAAATACAAAAGAAAAATATTAAAAATGATTAATTTAAATCACATTTTTTTTGCAGTAAAGTCTACGTTAAAAACCTTATTGAAAAAGCAAGTCAAGTCGAAGAATATGATAAATTAGTTTGAATATTTTGTAAAAAAATGAGGTCCGATAAGAAAAGAATAAAAATTGTAAAATAAAAAAAGAAAAGCAGAAAGAAACAAGGTTTTCCATCCCATCATTTGTAAGCATTGGTTGGTACCCATAATTTTTATTTCGTCGGCGCTCTATGCGGCACCTCCTTATCTCTGCCACTCTTTTGTTTAGGCAAACGTCCTTTTCATTTCAACTATAAATAATTCACTTTATCTTTTCCTTTTCTCTCTACCATTCATAACGATCCAGGCCTTTTAAATATCATTTATATAGTCTGTTATTCGGTTGAGATCTCCCACATTTTACCCCTATCCATTTTTTTTCTTATTCTTTTATAATATATTATGCTCTTTATTTTCTCCATCAATTAAAACAGTAATAAGAAGTGTCCTTTTATTTTTTACTATTCACATAACCATAAATTTGCTTAAAGCAGTAGTATCTTTTAAGTACTATACCACATATAGAAGAAAACCAACCACCATAGAGCATGATTGATGGTCATGTCATGCAATTTATACAACTTTTAAGTGTAATAGAAAGCAAACACGAGCTGCATTATAAGCCTAACCAATCGCAAAAGCGAGTGGCCTCGGATGGGAAAGGATCACTGCGCAACATCTCATTGTACAAAAATATAATTTAACGTCAATAATTTCGCTTTTATATATATATATAATGTACTCTCTGGAAAGGAGTAATTTGATTGGATAAGTAGATGGATAAGCTGTGTAAATTTTTTTTAAAAAAATGTGTACTTTTCTTTCTGGAGTAATTTTGTGGGGGCAATTAATGTTAAATGACTATACTACCCCTAATTGACCCTGATCATCCATCACCCATGTGTGTTCCTTCCCGTACTGTCAACAACAAAATTTAACGCTCCCACCCGTTATTCAAACCTAAGCATTGGCATGGATAGTTTTGTACATCTGTCAGAAAAATAATAATAAATGTCTATACATAGTTGTTGATAATATCATATTATATATATATATATATATATATTAATTGAAATTATGATAATTATAACTTTCAAGATTTAACTTATTTTACATTGTAATCCGAGCACTGCTGGTTAAAAAGAAAATTGAGTATGAAATGAAATAAAGTTAGAGGAATTTAGATTTTAGTTGTGCATGAATGATAATATATATGAAAAAGGTGTGAAAAATGACAATGAATGGAGATGGAGAGAAATAGACAAGACATAGGTAAAATATTGTCCTAGAATGCAATGCCATGTCACACCAGAACACTCCCTTTCATATGGGTATGATGTATGAATTTATGGTGCAGGTTAGTGATGGGATATGGTGTATGTGGATGCTATACTATTTGGGATGCACCACAGAATAAATGCATTCTCGCCTAATTCATTCGGTTATATAATATTATCCTCATCCACCACCAGAAATCAATTCAATATGGGATTTTTTTTACGTAAATTATGTTATTAAGGAATATGGAAACCACTAATTTTCTTCAAAAATATCTCATTCATATTTTTTTATACAATTTTTTTATTTCCATATACATATCTTCTCTACCCACAATTCTTGTTGGTTAATTTTAGAAAAAAACTCAATTTATTTTTTATGTGTAATCGTATTAAATAGTTAAAATAATATTTTTTTAACAAACTTGTGTGAAGTGGAAGGAGATACGGCTGTTGAAGGGTAGTTTGGTAATTTGGTAAGTTGGACTGTTCCAAATTCCAACCGAACCAACGCTGAAATGTAAAAATGTCTCGAGTGAGTGAGAATCGCAATATCAATAGCAACAGAGCCTGCAGCTGTTTTATTTATTATTTTTTATTTTTATCAAACAAACAAAGCAAACTCTTCTCTCTTTCTCTCTCGCTCTTTTCTCTATACAACTTGGGAGCTTTCTCTCTCTAAAAGCAAGGTCCTCCGTCACCACCACCACCTCCAATCTCCCACTTTTACACGCGCAGAGAAACTGTGTCTGAGACTAATTTTTCTGTTAATGGATTCCTTTTTTCTTCTACAATTCCAAGCATCTATTTTTGGTACTTGTTATTCCATTCCCTCTCTCTTAATATTTTCGGTTCTCATATTTTTTTCCCTTTAATTTATCATTTTTTTGGTTTATGAACGGCGACCCATGATGCGGGTTGGATTTTGTGTCGTGCAGGTTCGATCAAGTTTTGGGCTTTTGGCGGTAATGTGGTGGATTGAGTGATTCCTTCTTGTTGCATATCTATGGCTACAGATTCGTCTTTTGAGGGTGAATTGCTTATTTGTCACTCTGTTTCTTCTAATTTTCATATATAGTGCTCACTTTTCTGTTCTGTTGAAACTGGGGTGATTGAATTCTCTCAATAATTCTTTATCTGCGCTATGTTCAGGCTCATGAGATTTACTTTCCGCTTAATTTGACGATCCACGTAGATTAATCTGTATGGTGCTATTTTAGCATTGTGGCTTCTCTTATTTTCCTGAGGTTTGATTTAATTTATCGTGATCTCTTCCTGTTTGCCTTTTCTGAATATTGGGTGGTGATTAGCTTTTTATTTATTTTTTAGTTCATCATGATAGAGGTGTTTATGCTTGTTTTTGTTTCTTTATTTGATTTTATTTTTGTTTTTATTTTTTTTTATTTTTGTTTTTGTGATTGCGTATTTGACGTCGTAGAACTGGCTTCGTGAGAAGTGCAAAATACTTTATTGTAGTATTATAAGGGAAAAGTATGGTTAGTCAGTTTGTAATTTGGTGTACGATGGGCCAGCTAATAAATCAGCGGGTCTATGGGTTCTATATTAGGAGAATGGAGTCTCCAATAAAGGTCAAAGAAGATTATGTCCAACTGCTTAATTGTCTTACTTGACTAGTCCCTTGCACGACGTCTCCTATGTTTTTATTTCTTACAGTGTTTCAAATGGTTGGTATGTCCTTGTGGTGCAAAGTCAACTGGTTCCAGTTGTATACCTTTCGTTATATTACTTGTTTTGGCCTTCTTGGCAATATTTTTTAAGTAGTCAATGTTTTATACTATAACTAAATTGAGGCCATAACCTGGCAGCTAACTTACCGATTTATTACGTATGTAGAACGATAATTGCAATAATAATTCATTTATTCTCAAGAAATTTGAAAAAAAAAAATTATGATGACATGAGTATCTGTGGATCTAGCTTGTCTCCTTCACTACTTGGATGTTTTGATAATGATATATGTTTTCTTTTGCTTAACCTCAGGTCTTGCTCTTGATCCTTCCAAGTGCAGTAAATTGAGTATGGAGGAAAAAAGAGAACTTGTATATGAAGTATCTAAGTGGTCGCATGGTGCATCTGAGATACTGCAGTCATGGAGCCGTCAGGAGATTTTGCAAATATTGTGTGCAGAGATGGGAAAAGAGAGAAAGTATACTGGGTTGACGAAGTTGAAAATTATAGAAAATCTTCTTAAAATTGTTTCTGAAAAGAAATCAGGGGGGCATGAAACTGCGACAGACCCTGAACCACATTCTTCGCCTGCATCTGGTCAGAAACCTGCTAAAAGGCAGAGAAAATCTGAGAATCCTTCTCAGTTACCTGTTCCTGTGACCAGCATTTCAGTCAATAATGGTAGTGATTCTGTTAATACTACATACTGTAAGAACTCAGCCTGCAAAGCTACCATGAATCAAACAGATGCATTTTGTAAAAGATGTTCATGCTGCATTTGTCATCAATACGATGATAACAAAGACCCTAGCCTGTGGTTAATATGTAGTTCTGAGAATCCATTTCCTGGTGTTTCATGTGGCTTGTCATGCCACCTTGAGTGTGCTTTGAAACATGATGGTTCTGGAATTGTCAAAGATGGGGATCGTCCCAAGCTTGATGGAGGCTTCTACTGTGTTGCTTGTGGGAAAGTAAATGATTTACTCGGGTAATCATACTTATGCTTTTCAATTTCTTTAATGACATCATTTATTGATTTAAAAATTCTGCTTCTTTTTTCCCTCTGTCTATCTTGGAGTGTTTTACTACACATGCAAATAATTAATATGTAACAGGGTTTTAAAAAATTATATCAATTTTCCTGTAGTGTTTTTCTACACTTGCAAATAAATAAAATATGTAACAGGGTTCTAGAAAATTGTATTGAGTCATTTGCTGTTTGCAAAATGCATCAAAAGAATTTCAGAATAGACAAAAGTTGGGATAAAAAAGTCAATTGAGTAGTCTTAGAATACCTTTCATGCTAAAGTTCACATCTGGTCCAACTGTATAAAATGAGTCAATGATATTAAGGTGTAGGTTGTCTCTTCCCATTTTAAGAAAAAAATTCTTCCTCCCTTTTTTTTGAGTTCATAAAGCTCTAGGTTATGTATTACAGCAGATTGGATCATCGCTTTATTTAGTGCGTAATTTGCTTTAAACATGCATAGGGCTGATATTTCAGGAAAACTTAGGCTATGCTTTAAATTGGATCAGTTTTCTGAAAGAGAGAGATTGATTATTTGTTGAATGTTATTTTTGATTGCTTAGCTATGGTAAGACACTCTACTCAACATTATGGCAAAGACACTACTCTATCAAAATATGGTAAAGTTATTTTTACTGTGTGGTGTATGTGCCAAATTACTCTTAGGATGAAATTCTGGCAATGTGTAAGGTTAGATCAATCTCATCTGGGCTTGTTTATCAAAATATATTAGATGCTGGAGAAAACAACTGATGGTAGCAAAGGATACTAGACGTGTAGATATACTCTGTTATCGTGTCTCCTTAAGCCAGAGACTTTTACAAGGAACTGAAAAGTATGACGAACTTTATAAAATTGTTGATGAAGCAGTGAAGAAACTTGAACCTGAAGTGGGCCCACTCACTGGCTCACCGGTGAAGATTGGTAGGGGAATTGTGAACAGGCTTTCATCAGGACCCGAGGTTCAGAAACAATGTGGTTTTGCTCTTGAATCGCTTGATTCACTGCTTTCGAAAAGGATCTTGCCATCATCACCCAATCCAACAACTCAAGGTTGTTATTTTTTTTCTCAATTTCTATATCATTTGCAATTTCCCTTGTGATTTGTTTTATATGGAAGTAACTTCTTATGGCTTTCATTTAATTTATCTTAATTTTTAGATCTTGTTTGGGTCATTGGTAAGATATTAAAACACTTGAGTGTAAAGAAGAAATAATTTTATAAGAATGAGATTTCTGTGTTGGAATGATCTCCCAAAAGTAATTTTTGGATAATTGGAGGGGATACCAAGATTACTTTTGGGCAGATATAATAATGTTAATTTGCTTTTTGTGACCCAAAACTATTTCTGGGATCAGCCGCCTAAACACGAGACATGACCGACTTCAAAGGTCATTCTTTTGCATTTTTGTTTCAAAGCACATGAACATGGTATTGGATGCAAATACTGTGCAGTTATAGGTAGATTAATGTTTTTGTCACTGGGTTTAGATTCTCGAATAATGTTATAAGATTGATCTCTGTGTATACATCACATTTTCAGATGCACATCTGGTGGCTCCTAATATGGTGAGGTTTGAAGATGTCAGTGCTACATCCCTGACTATTATTTTGGGTTCCGAAGAACCCTCTGGTGAAAACATCGCTGCTTACACCATGTGGTATCGCAAAGCTGATGAAGTGGACTATCCGATGGAGCCGACATGCACCTCGCTGGTACCAAATAGAAGGTTCAGTGTCAGGGGTCTACTTCCAGGTACAGAATACAGATTCAAAGTTGTTCCAAATGATTCGAGGGTATCAGGTGTGTGCGAAGTTCAAATCTCAACAGAGCTTGGGGAGGATGAAGTCCCTAATTGCTCTGCAACAGAGAGAAGTCAGAGCCCAGTAACCAACTGTAGCAGCCTTTCCAATCCGTCATCAGTAGAAGATGAAACTAATAACTGCAATCCATACAGTGACCTGACCAATAACCGAGCAGGTCATTATCCATCTTTTCGCAAGGAAAGCGACCAGCTTGCTTCTGGAAATTTATCTAATGATGGTGTTAACTGTTCCAACATAGATGTTGTGGGTCTTCCTCCTGATGCAGATTCTTTGTCAGACAAGCAGCATGCTGTAGGAATGACTGCCTCCATACCCAGTTCTGATGTGCTAAAGCTGGAAGACAAGCACTCGCCGGAGGAACAAGTGACTGAGGACATCATGAGCATTGACGATGGTTTGAATTCCCGAGTTGTAACGGGTAGGGAATGTGTGCCGTGGGTAGGTAGCTCGGAAGGAGGGTTGCCAAATACTCCGTGCAAGTTGGAAAGCCTTAAGGATGGAGCAGGAAGGAGTGGAAGATCGAAGTCGATTGCGAAAGATCAAGAAAATGGATCAGGGAAAAGGGAGGGACCCCAGGATGGAAGCACATCCAAGAAGAGAAGCGGAGAAAGGCAAGATGAGGGCCGCTTGACCAATGGATTTTCGGAGCGTGATTTTGAGTATTATGTGAAGGTGATTAGGTGGTTAGAGTGTGAAGGGCACATAGAGAAGAACTTCAGGCAGAAATTTCTGACTTGGTACAGCTTAAGAGCCACCCCTCAAGAAGTTAGGATTGTGAAAATATACATTGATACATTTCTTGAAGATCCAGCATCTCTTGCAGAGCAACTTGTGGACACCTTCTCAGAATGTATATCCAGCAAGAGAATATCAGTGGTGCCATCGGGGTTCTGCATGAAGCTTTGGCATTGACCAGTTTTGTAGGTCCTGCTACTACCCTCAAGCTTCAACCCCCTCCTCCTCTCTCACTCAGTAATTCTTTAGATTTTAAATTAATATTCTTCATTTAGACAGAGTTCAAATACATATATTTATAAATTATAATTTATTTCAACATTATCATTCATATTATCATGTAAGTAAGAATTTTAGATTTACTTTTATTATACAGTTACTATTCCAGATTCACATTTTTCGTTGCGCTTTTAGGTGGGTCGCATTGAAGGATTTATGCTCAAATTAGTATTTCTATAGGTTTTTTGGTCTTTTCAAGGTGACGTGAGGCTCTCATTTAGTTAACAGTGTTCGGACTAGTGGATGGAAGATCTATTGTCAGCCTGCAACTTTAATTTCTACCATTTTGATTGTACAGGAGATATTTTGGTGTTGACAGAGACATCGTGAAGATTAAGTGAACGTGTATAGACACATTGTTCGTAAACAATCGTTAACAATAATTGTAGCTAATCATTGGTAGAGCAATAATTAGCAATAGTTAACCGTAATTGGTGCTAATCATTGGTTCAGTAATAACTAGTAAATGTTTTGTCCATAAAGGCAGACCTCAATTTTGCCAGTGCTTTAACTCTTTCGATTCTGCTTAAAGCATTTCACTGACTTTGTTAGCGAATTAGAATTTATCAGCTGTAAGTTGAGTTCTTTTGTCAAGCATGCATGAAACTGTACAAGTTAGTGATTGCGTGTTTGACCAAACTTCCTGCAAGAGTATCAATATCATGCTTTGTTGGGCCAACCTCGTCCGTGATTATTGCATGAATTGGTTAATGAAAACACGAACTTCCCAAGATATCTTCCCATTGATGACTAAATCCTTTTCAAAACAAGCAACTTCAATGAACTAAGTACGTCTTCAAAGATTTTTACACATAAAGTTAAGAAGAGAATCTTGATTACGAGCTATCTATCAACATGTGTTGAGCCTTGTTGGTCTTGGATTTATTTGTACAAGCTGTGTTTTCGTGTGAGAACACATAATTTAAAAAGTGATAGAGATGTGAGCACATATAATTTGAAAAGTATAAAGATATGAAGAACAACAACAAATTGAAGAATAAAAAGTTTGAAGGCTTCAATAAATAGCAAAACGAGATTTTTTCCCTTGTTTACATTATAAAAAGACAAATCATCCTCAAAGAAATGTTAGTAGAGGATGAATATCAAGGACAAAAAAATGTAGTGATTTGGAACATGTAGAGCATATTTTAAAGTCTAGATTGGAAGAGGCAAATGAGACCATAGAGGAATAAGATAAGCAACTTTTTTGTTGCAACATGTTTTGCTATGACTAATAACACTTCTAATGATTCGTGCATGATAGACAATAATTGCACAAATCTCATGACCAACAACTACAAATCCTTTATATAGTTGGTCAAATTCATTGTTTTCTAATTAAAAATTGGGAATAGTAATCTCATTTCATTCATGAGCAAATGAGTTTATGCTATTGAAAGTTAGGAAAACAAAAGACATTTTTAATATATTATGTGTCTAATATTGTCCAAAATCTGATCAATGTTTTACAACTTGTAAAAAAGGGTTTTAAGGTTGTATATGATACTGATTTACTTTTTTAGATTATTACATGTAAGAGAAGTTATATGAGTTTTAAATAAAAGAAAGTTTACAAGTTGGAAAAGACCTTATACGGTCTTAGACAAACTCAAAAAACCTAATATAACAAGATAAATAATCATCTTTTAAATATTGAATTTGTCAAAAATTCAAGTGAAGCTACATTATATATGTTAAGTTTGTTTAGACTTTATAGTTTAAAGTTTATTAAAGTTTCATCATTATTTTTATTTATGTTGATGATCTACTTATGATAAAAAGTTACAAGAAACTTAAAGAGAAGTTCAACACTGTGATGCTTAAAGTGTTTAAAATGAGACTTAATAATTTATATGAATTGAAAAATGCATATAATATTTTTCAAACAAATTTAGAATCAAGAGAAAAATCATGGTGTACATGGTGATTCAATGTTTCAGATAGGAAGACAATAATTCAATGAAAATTGTTATTGGCCAGGAATTTAATCTAAATAAATTATGAAATAACTCAAGTATAAATTCTCTCCAAAAGTATATAACAAACAAATAGGGTATAAATATATTTTTATTTCTTAACTTTTATCGAAAATTGAAAAAAGTTCTCTTTTAAAACTTTGAACCAATTTAATTCTTTAACTTTAAAATTAATGAAGTTAATTCTCGAAACGAAACAACTTTAAAATATTGTTGCTAGTTTTTAACAACATGGATATGCTACGAGAGGCTCACAAAAGGAAAGATGAAAAAAAAAACATTTTTAAAGTCTTTATTATAACAATAACATTTTATTATAGTTTTATTTCGAAGACTAAATTTACTCATTTACGAAGTTGAAGAATTAAGTTGACTCAAAATTTCAAAGATACATTAATTTTAATGTTTGATAAAAATTAAAACATGAAAAACATATTTAACCTGAAAAACAATTAATCATGAAAATAGAAAACAATAATCAATCATGAAAATAAAAGAGTGTATAAACTATAATAAACATAAGATCAAACAGATAAATAATCACACAAGTAACATGGTTGAATAAAAATGTTAATGAACTTACAACAATAATTAACTATTGCACAAATATTACAACAAGATTACCTAGACAAATAGGAAGGACATGTGAACAATATTTTTTGTTATTAAGCTAGAATGTCACTTAGGTTTTTTTAGATGTACCAAGTCTCATTAGACACTAAAGGAGCAAATGAGCAACAGAGACTGTCTATCACATATTCTAGATATGACATATCATCTGGTGAAGTTAGACGGTTTAGGAAACTTGTACAAGATTTTATTGAGGCAAACTTCAAAAATCTTCACATTGGTTCAACACAATCTTTCCAACTATTTACAAAGTGAAAAAAAAATTGAATTAAAATCTCCCATGTCCTCATAGAAATATAGGATCTCAGCATTTGCTTTCTTTTCATATTTAACGTGTTAAATGTGAGACAGGCTCTCTCTCATGTGTGACTAGGGAAAGAGTATGAGTGACCTAGGGTTTCTATTGGATTTGGATTAACCAAATTTTGCTACATTTAGCCCTAATTACATCCTACTCTCTCTGTGTAAGCCCATACAAGGAAAATTAATTTACTGCCAAAGTACAGAGGTGAAGATTATCTTACCAAACTTATTCCAACAGGAAAAAATTCGTTAAACATGTGCCCCTAACAACTTGAGATATTCCCTAGTTTGAAAGGATCTGTTTACTCTTGTTTATATAATACAATATGCATAGACTTTCATAGAACTTGATCAAACCGTCCACAATTTTGAGGTAGGCTGTACAAGAAAAGCTCCAGGATTTCATTATAACAAACGCTGCACACTGTTTATTTTATTATAATTTGAAGTAGTGTACAATTTCTTTGACAGATAATTCAGAGTCACCAAACATGTTAATCAGTGTGCTGTGGTGTAAATTGATGAAGTCGTTCCAAATTTTGGCAGTAGAGAACGTGAGTCATTCTAAAATATTCTTAAAAATGAGTTGTTGCATCTAGTTATAAAAACTATTTTCCTTATTTTATTTCAACTTGATGGTAAAAGTTTTCCAGCACCAGAAATTGGAGGGCCCCAGCCTCCACTCATCAAGTTTCAATAGAATGAAGTGTTGATGAAACCAAAGGTTGAAGCCTAATTAAACTCTCCCTTTTCCACCGTCTGCATATACTACTTTGCACATTATTTCAGGATCTCCAAATCCTATTTTCTTCCTCCTTTTGTCTGACCACAAGCCTCATTCAAGATCAAACACTGCATAACCTTTGTTTTCCATTCAAAACTTCATTCACTTGAGTAAAATGTCTGCTGGAACTTTTTCAGCTCAGGTTGCTGGGGCTGGCTTTGTTGGATTGAAGTCCAACTCATCAAGTCTTTGCCAAAGTACAGCATCTATAACATGGAAAAGGAAGATTGCTTCCAACTCTTCTAAGACTTACTGCATGAAGGTGAAGTGATCAAATCACTTATATATATATAGATATATATGATGTGTTTATGTATATTGTGTTTAAACTTGTGACAGACATGGAATCCCATCAACAACAAGAAGTTCGAAACACTGTCCTACCTGCCACCTCTTTCAGATGAATCCATTGCAAAGGAGGTTGACTACATGATCAAAAAGGGATGGATTCCTTGCCTTGAATTTGATGAGGTTAGTAAAATAAATTAGATTAACAATAATTAGGTTTATGAGTATTTATTAGAAAAAGTAAAGATGGTAATTGGAAGATGGAAACAGTTGGGGCATATTTGTAGGGAAAACAGGCATATGCCAGGATACTATGATGGGAGGTATTGGACATTGTGGAAGCTTCCAATGTTTGGTTGCAGTGATTCTAGTGAAGTTCTGAAGGAGATCCATGAATGCAGAGAGGCATATCCAAATGCATATATACGTTGCTTAGCATTTGACAACAAGCGTCACATGCAGTCTATGGCTTTTATCATACACAAACCTTCTACCACTTGACCCTTTTTTCTTCTCTTTCTCTTTCTATCATTCACTCGCTCTCTTAAATGTAATATCAACTTTATAAGTTTGCTCATCAGACAGCTTGCAATGGTTTGAATCTTAAGTTATAATTTACCACGCATTTAGTGTAATTAAATAGCATCGTGGTGTACTTTTTCAGTTGCGTACTGCAAACGTGAGTGTTGAAGTTGAAGGTGGGATGTGAACCTTGAAACATGCTCAACAAAACGCACTGTATTTCTTATCAACTTGTTTTGGTTTGAATTAAATTGATTTTGGATTCTTCATATCAAATATTGTAAAAGAAAAGACGTAATTTAGAAGGAGAATCTGATAAATAAAATAAGTTCATTTTAAAGAATGTTTAAAACCATGGCAGGCACAAATGATCTGGTCTTTGAATATGCTCCACACACATTCTGGATTCCGTGTGTAAGGGGTTCAGGAATGGATTTTTTTCCCCAAGAAGGATCGAGGTAATTTTATTGAATAATGATTAATTTGTCCAGATATTATATCTTGGTATTATATTATTTCTTTAAATTTCTGAAACTTTTTTCAAAATTTATTTCACTTCTTTCACTTTCTTTTTATTTTGATCTATAGTCTAAAAACTTAAATGATAATAA